GTCACTCAGAGTGGGCCAATACATCTCTCATGGATATCTTTTTTTTGTTCAAAAAAGTTATTTTAACATAACCCCTCCATATCTATTTTGTATTCTTGAGCATCCACCACATCTTCCTTGTATATGCATGTTGTATCCAAAAGTCAAACTTTGCAATAACTCAGCTAGATACAGATCTGGAATGTCTGATATGTATGGAGGTGTTTTGGGGGCCTATTAATACTGGATACTCCATGCCTGAAACTTTTGTAGTAAATGTGCTTCATAGCCAATCAACTCAATTCTCCAATCAAAACTATCTTATCATTTCCCATAAGGTTATTAGAGTGATGGATGAGGTAGAGACTTTCTTTTTTGAGTATTTTGTTAAAATTAAGTTTTCTATAAGAATAAAGGATGAATTGAGTCTGTCATGGAAAAAGAACAGGAAGTGAACTTGTTTAGTGGAGGTGTGATGTTAGAGGTAAGACCAATCGGTGCGAAATAAGGAAAGAATTAATGTGAAATGGCCTTGGGATAGAGGTTAATGGACTGTGGGACTCCAAACCCCGGCTGGAGTTTGAGGTTTTGCACCTGTGTTGTTGATCAACTGGTGAGGGTGAAAAACGTTTAACATGTTATTTGCTTCGCCTGAAGCCATATCTCTTAAAGTATCTGCTTAAATGTCTTAGATGTTAATGCTCGATTAGCATTGTCATGCAAATTTAGTTGTTTATATTGTCCTTTTTCCCCATCATTATGTTCTGTTGGAAAATGGGAATTATTGTCAATCTTTGTTAACTTGCCTGTGTTGTGGCTAACTTGCACATATTACTTTTGTTGTTTTTATTAACTTCAGATTTGTCTTGTGTTTGACAAAATGGTGCTCCGGTACACATTTCTGGACTCATTTCTTGACACATGTCTTGTGTTCCTCCTCAGGCTCAAAGAAAGACAGATAGGTCAGTTGGAATCTTTCATCATGGTGATAGTCTGAGCCCTGGGTCTGTTCTTGAAGCTTCATTTTCTTCTAGTAGTCTGGATGATAGCTCAGGTAGAGTACTTGAATAATAGTAGAAATTGCAAGGCAAAAACAGATGCATAAAATACTTTGCTAAAATCTGCTACATAATTTCTACTGTCTAGATGTCCTTTAACCCTTTAAATGTGATTTCTTTTTTCAATCTGATAAGATCCTCCAAATGTGATTTACATATTTTTCATGCTTCTGGTTCCAGGGCATAGGTCCTTCTATCCTCACTCTATGGATTACTCTGATGATCAGTTGCAACTGGGACATTATGGTGATCTGATAGACTCTGCCACTTCAGTGGACCGAAAGAAGACTGGTAGTGAGATGATGACTGCTCTTGTCAATAATGTATCTAGGATATTACATAGCATCAATGCTGGTGGGGAAAGATTGAGAGGAGACAAGCTCACCCATGCAAATGAAGTTATCTTGAAAGCTGAACTATTGTTTGGAGATGTGACTCTGCATAACATGGATGTAATGAAAGGTCTTTTCATCAGTCCCTTGCTTCTTGACTTGGAAACTATTGCCAGCAGCATGATGAAAAATTTCAATGTGTTAAGTAGTTTTGGGGACACCAAAGAGGGAACTAAACTCAGTGAGTTCCTTTTTGATTGTGTCATAGAGCATTTAGACTCAAAATATGGTCGATACACTAACTCTGGAATCAGATTTTGGGAAAAACTGCCTTTATGCATGAACCGCAAGTTGATGATTCAAGAGGTTGAAGACGAGATGCAAAAGTGGACAGATTTGGCTGGAATGATTCCGGATGAGATGATAGAATGGGATATGAATCATGCCCTGGGGAAGTGGACTGATTTCAATATTGAAGCATTTGAGGCCGGTTCTGAAATTGACGGGGACATTCTTCAAAGTCTGGTTAACGAAGTTGTAATGGATCTCCGTGAGTGCAGGCTGGGTTCCTTGTGAATTTCATGTAGTCCGACCGTTTTTGAGTTCCTAATATCAACCATGCCACATGCATGTTGTTTGTTAAACAAAGCAAAAATTGTATTCTTTTGTACAAATCAATGGAAGGTTTAGTTCAATATTAAGTTATTGGATGCTGTGGATGAGCATTGTAGGTATATTTTGTTTCTTGAATGTGATTTGTCTTAAAACATGCAAAACAGTTTGAAACAAAAATTCTGTGTTCTGGCCTTAGGTCTGCCTCCGTTGGGGTTGATGCTGTGTATTCTGTACAGGGGTTTTTTTTTATTTTTTTTAATTTTCCTGCAATTGGTGTAATATGGAAAGATAATCAAATTTGTACAACTCTGAGTTGATGATCATCTTAAATCAGACACAATTTGTAGTAATTAGTAAAAAAATAAAACAATGAGTTGGTAAATTAAGCATTTTTATTGACATCAAAATCAAAAGGGGAAAAATTTGAAATTGGCTAAAGAATGAAAGATTTATGTATAACATGGGGGCATGATGCCAAATACATCCAAGAGTTGAAACAATTTATAGCATATTCCTTTTAAATTCTCAAACCCAAATCCTAGTTACATCCAGAGCTTTACAATCCACCAAATTCTTAGGCAAACAAAAGAATTTGCACCACTCTGACTCGATGATCATCTTCAGTTGGAACAGAATTTGCAGAACTTAGTAAAAGAATCATATACTAAGACCCTCAAACTCATATACTAGTTAGTTACATCAAAAGAGCTTTACAATCCAGCAAAAAAACCCAAAAGAATTCTCAGTGGTAATCAATCACTCAGGCAAACCATGAACCAAAAGAATTCATATTATGAAAAATAAGAATGAACTCAAAAGTTATGAAAAAATAGAAAAAATAGTAATTAAAAAAAAAAAAAAGATTAGGCAGCAAAGCAGCAAACTTTGAAAATCAAAACTGCCTGTACCCCAAAACAGTCTTGGGAATAGCTCTGCCATTCCCATTCCTCCCTCCCCTGTTTTCGCCGCTAATAGCATTAGCAGCAGCAGAAGACAAACCCTTCAATTCCTCCATACTCGCATAGCTCTTCCTTGCCATCAACCCTCCGCCATTGTTGTACCTCTTCTCCCCTGCGCTCGCCGACTTACTTCCTCTCGAATTGGACAAAACCCCATTCGCTTTCGACCAGGACTTCGCCGGTGGGGTCATCTCAAGCGTCGACGGAAGCCTTGTTGGTGGCTTGCGGTTCTCTTTTCTCAACACAGCGGAGAAATCAGGCACTGATTGAGCCACAGCAGAGGACCCTTTACGCGATTTGGTCGTATTGGTCTGAAATTTGACTTGTTTCTTCAACGGGCTCGGTTTCAATTCGGGTTCTTCAGCCTCTTCTGGCCTCAGATACTTCCTTCGCAGCTTTGCTTCTCTGAGATCCGCGTAGGCTTTGTATCTGGGTCCTCTCTCCATGATGCTCTCTGTGATGAGCCGCAGAGGGACTGGCTCTTGGTCTGGTTGTGGGTTCTGGGAGAGAATGAGGGAGATGGGGTCGAGGGCTTGGAAGAGATATTGGAAAGCAGGGTTTGGTTGATGATGGGTTTGTTGCAGAGAGTCGTTAGTCGCTGCCATTGTTGATGAATTTGAGGTCGCGCTGTGTGCAGATATCTTGGATTTTGGTGGATTTAATAATGGCTTCTGTAGTTTCCTCTTGCGCTTTTACTTACTTTGCAATTAAAGATTAAAGATTTTGGATTTCCAACGGTCGAAAATAGGAAAGAGACGGAGACTATTTAAGCCTTTTTGCTTCCTTGTTCCCCTTTTTCTTGCTTCCAAGTCCAACGTTCTGATTTTAAGTCGGTCCCTTTTTAAAAATAAAAAAGGATGTTGAATCACTTTGGATTCCATATCAACTGCCTGATTTGACTGGCATTTTCATGATGGTTCTTGAGAGCCGTCTGATCTCCCTTGTTTTTTTTTTGGGGTCAAAGAGAGCCTCTCATCTCATCTGACTTTCTAGGATCACTTTGTTATTTTATTTATTTTTTAAAGAGTACTAGTTACTTACTTCTTCTTTTTGCCTTATAATTGTTTTTTCTTAAATAATGCTAGTTACCTTCTTTTCTTGTCTTCCTCTTTTTACCTTCTTAAGGAATGCTAGTTACCTTCTTCTTTTTGTCTTCTTGATTCAGTTTATGTCACGTGTATTCTACTCACATATAAATTTATGTATTTTATGTGTTAAAAAAAAAAATTATTCTCTTTACAAGCAAAATATAAATATTTTGCATTAAATACATAAATTTCCGTGAGAATAGAATACACTTGGTACAAATTGAATTTAAAAAAAACAAACAGCTAGATTTTTCGGAAGATTTGTCCAAAAAAGACTTTTCGAAAGGTGCCACGACTCAACATAGCTCAACATAGTGTAACCTCGGAGAAAAAGGGAGGTTGTTATATTAAAGGACATTTTGTTGTGTAATTGACAAAGCTTCTAACAAAGGCGGCCATTTCAAAGTCTTCCACTTGGAGGTCTGCCTCCATGTGACAAAATTAGAAGGAAAGCGCATAAGGATCGGGTAAAATTAATCATAAATTTAACCCATTGTATCAAATTTCACAAAAATAAAAAACTGTTTTTACTGTGAGTATAATGTTGAGCTTTAAAGATGAGCTTGTTTGGAAAGTTTAAATTTGGTAGAAACATCCTCACAAAGGGGATTCCATTATATGGTATTGATAGCATTTAGGGCAATTTTCAATTCCTCGATCTATTCAGTCTGATATGGTATAATCAAATTTCTATAAATTTTCAACTCAATTAGCAGCTTCTTTCCATAGTCTGATCCACATTAACAGTGCAATTATCGTAACTCAACATATCAGCAATTATCATAACTCAACATTTGATATGTAGATGCCAACGAGGTCTAGTCCAGAGGACTTGTAGACTAATGGTTTAAGATTCGAACCCTCATGGCATCGTGTAGTGTGTATGAGAGAAACCCTCTTTCCCCTGTAATTTAAACTATCGCTTGTAATAAAAAAACACATTTGATATGTAGATCATGAAGCAAAGTATAGAGATCAAGATATCCAGCTTGTATAAATCAGCTTTGTTTTTGGTAATAGTAGCTTCCTTCAAAAGGAAGACTAGTACAAAGCAAGAGAGACAATTGATACATCAGAAATGCTCTATGAGCAACTTACTCCTTTGTCCAAATTACACTTTGTGATATTTGTATTTCTGCCTCAAATTAAAACTAGTGATACTCTGGTCAAATCCATTCAGCACCAAGGCCCTTACAGCCTCAACCCCTTGATCTACTGCTGCATCAATCTGTCCAGATGGCAGATAACAGTCACAATTAAGATATTACGGGTTCAAATTCACACCCATTGAAATGAACAGGCACCGTAATTGTGTGTGTATGGCATGCATGCAAGCGATTCTTTGGGGACCAATGCAGTCATTAAAGAATTTCCAGACAGACCAGGGTCAGAACCATTTTGAATGACTAAAACCGTGAACTCTTTTAGTTTTATTTTACAAGTCCTTCAAAAAGTTTAGCCTGCATCACTAAAAGTTGAGTATTCATGATTTTAGAGGAATTTCGTATTCATACAACAGAGCTCAGGCAACACAGAGCTCGTGATTATACATGATATCGATACGTAAGGCCCAACCAAATGTTTGTTTTGCTCACTATTCATAGTCACCAGGGCAAATGTGTAATGGCATATCAAAAACAGAGCTCAGGCAACACACCAAAAACCAACTAGATGCAGAGAATATATTTTTGTCAGAACTCAGCTAATCATGTGCAACCACATCAAAAATGTTGAGACCTCACATACCTGATGTCTCTCTACTGTACTGAACCTCTGTAGAAGATAGGCTTTCATGTCCATAGTTCCAGGCGGATTTCCAATACCTGCAAACATATTTTTTCTCCTTTTATTTTCCAATTAAGGCAAGCATAGAACTTCGGGTTGAGACAAACCTAATTATTGCAAAAAATAGTACTCAAGAAACAAACCTATACACAACCGAGGAAATTCACGGCAACCATCCAGATGGCCCATTATACTCTTCACACTGTAACAAGAAAACAATTATGAACAATTTTACATGAGAGAAGTGAGGAAAAGCAGGCAATTTTTTCAACCAATTTCGTATTGCCTGATATGGAGTAGAGTTAGCAGCAGAATTTTTCATAAACATGTTAAAAGGCAATGATATTAAGACTTTGCAATATTTTTCCTTTTGTTTCCCCCAATGTTGGACCACACAAGGGGGAGCAGTCCTCCCTTCTATGAAACCCCTCCTCTCCGTAGGGGTTCAACTAGAGGTCAAAAGCCAATACCTTTTCAATAATGTACAGATCGAATTAATTTTAACTGTGGTTTCTGGATTTTAAAACAAAGTTGGAACTCATTTTTGTTGAATGTTATGGTATTGAAACTTATAGCACAAATGTGACATTATATATGTTCTCTCTTTGTTTTGCTCCTCTTCAACCTTCTCAGTTGTGTTGGTTTCTTCGTATTACATTTATGTGCTTCTTTTCATTCACTTCAAATGATAACCAGCAGCATTCACCACTCTTCTTAACCAACAAACGTGTACATTGATAACTATATGAATAAACCCTTTCAAACCAAACTCACAAACTAGCCAAAACAATATTTCTTGAAGAACTTCTCACAGCCCCATACCAACCATAAGTAGTTCTATTTATAGCTTTTTTGCCTCCTCAAACCATATCTTTACCCTGCACCCACTGCAACATTGATTCTCCACACTAACACTTCAGAAATAATAGGTTATACGGTCAACTGAGATTGATGTGCTCAAGCGGAAAAACAGATGAAGTTGCAACAAATCCTAAATAAATTGGACTTTTACTATAAACCAATACAAACTGAATCTGATTGACAAAACCCAGTCATATTGGGCAGGATTGGCTGGGTTGTTCGATTTGACAGTATGATGCCCACCCTTACTTTTGGTAACTTTTATCTCTGTGAGTCAACTTTATTTTCAAACCTCACCTATTTGGTAGACAAATTTTAAGAGAAACAGATCTTTTATCTTATTTTCTTCTCTTTTCCACTTTTATTGTTAAACCATGTACTGGAAAGTAATAGAATTCAACCATTTACTTTTCTTTTCCTTTCTTCCTGGGTAAACCAAACATTGAGAATCAGGGAAAGAAAACATAATTCAAATTTTCCATTCAAGAATCAGTTGTTTCTTTAATTTCTAGTTCACAATCTTTAGATAAGAAAATAAATATATGAAAAGTAGTTTCTTCTCCGATTCATTCTCTACTCAGCCAACAGTAAGAAGAACCCCAAACCCCTTGATTTACTTCTACTCATGACATCACCACTTATACAACTCTAATTGAAAGCATAGAACCAGAGGGCTATACAGAAAGGATCACACATGTAAATGTGTCTTCAAGGGTACAGATTGCAAAAAATAAAAAAAGAGAAACAATATGCCTTTTAAGACTTTAGGAAGGAAAACATGCAGTTAATTTAGCAGCCCTTGACAGACATCAATTAGAACATACTGTGGAAAATAAACTTGCTAAAGAAGCCACCTCATTTGGTATATTGTTAGGTTTAGAATGCTCAAATCTAAGTCAGAGATTAGTCAGATAAAGAAGATTAGTATTAAAACATATTTCTTCAAGAACATAGGAAAGTGATTAATAAATGTTCACATGAATTCAATTCAATAGTAATATTCAAAACATACCCATTGTGATATCCATGTCCTCCTTTTGGCTGAATCCTCAGAACACCATTTGGTAAGCTCATCTCATCATAAACCTACAAAAAATTTCATGTCTCTGATAAATGTAATGTGACATAGAACTTGATGGTTATTTTGAAGAAAGGCATTTATTATCTTGTAAAGCCTACATCAAGAAACAAAAATACATACCAGTAAAATATGACGTAGGGGTACTTGATAATATGCCGCAAGTGGTCCAACCTTAAGAATAACAAAAGGAGAATAAGTGACAGAAAATTCCGTCTCAAGGTAGCAAAATCACATTCACACCCTTTATTCAACTAAAGGAAAGGAGAGGTATACGATAATGCTCATGGATTATGTAAGAGCATCCATTAACAAAAATATAAAGCAGAGTATTGATGGAAATTGGCAAATCACGTTGTCCCATTATTCCACTTTGCCAACTATCAATTAATCAAAATGTTCACTCATACGTAAGGTTTATTCAGCCAGAAAATTCAATCAATAATCTGACTATGCACCACAAGTTGTCCAGAACTAAAGATATGATTTGAAAATTTCAAACATGGAAAGATTTGTAATTGTTGCCATAAAATGGGCACTGCTTAGTTCTAGCCAGGTTAAACTCTGTGAGCAGATGCTAACAATTGTAATAATTTTCAGAATAGAACACTGGAGCTAATTAGACATTATTACTTTTACACATCCCTGGGAATTAAATGGTATTTCTTGAGTATACGGCTCTTCCATTAAAGACCTATTATGGCTTTGAGGAAAATAGGAATAATAATACTAATTGAGGGATCATTTTCAAGTTTGCTTGAATGCTTTCATCAAGTGTAACAGAAATTCAAATAATAGATTCTCACTCTAATGGTATGCCACGTAATCACTAACAGAAAATTATCATAGGTATTATGTAGAGAACATTTATGCGAGCCTAAATTGACACAAAAAAGCAAACAGATATAATGAGAACAAACCGATTCCCCACTGTAATTCATGTAGGCTTGAGGCTTCGCCAACAAAATCGGTACCTCTCCAATGGAACCTGTACTGATCACACAAGTCTGAATGAACACCAAAACTCATGAGAATATGGAAATAGAAAACAAGGATGCATGCAATTAAAATACAACTGAAGACCCACCTATTCCAACCAAGGCCTTTGACTGAATGGTATTCATCACAATGCCTTGCGTTTTAGCAATACTGTCAATCATCTCAAAACCAATCTGGTATGAAAAGAAAACTCACATGAAAAATAGGCATTGAAAAAAAATTCAACCGAAAGAATTAACTTAGTGCAATAATATTACATTGTGCCTAGTGCCATGGTACTTATTGCCAGGGTTACCCAATCCAACAATCAGCCAAGGAGTGTACTCCACTTTAGCACCATTGCCATTCTCCGGCAAGGAAGCTTGCACACGAAAACTAGTTGGAACTGAACACTTTCTCAGAAAACGAGGGCTACAAGGTCTTCTTGGATATGATATGCAACAGTTTGGGGCAGAGACAGCATACCACATTGACCTACATGAACAAAACACAAATTGATATATCAGATAAGAATGAACAACCATTTGGGTCTTCATTAACTGGCCAAGTTTCCACCTTTCTAGTATTTCAGTTGTCTAAATTCTGAGTTCATCTGTTTTTGTTCCCTCTAATTAATTGTTGTATCTTTCATGACAAACTGATATAATTTTAAGGGAAAAAGAAGGACCCAAAAAACAAAAGATAAGCTGGGCTAGAATAAACTGACATATCTCTGTGTATCATGATAAACTATAATTGACAACTTAAAAAGAATATCTTGAAATTCTTGGCGGAGCTAGGAATCGTACCACAAGGGGTCTTAGTGTAAAAGCCCCAATAAAAATTTAGGATGGAAAAAAATATTGAAAATGAAATCATAGTACTTTCATTCATAATTCATAACGGAAACAACTTGTTCAAAATTGGTTTTAAAGCTTCACTACCCACTTGTTCAAAATTGGTTTTAAAGAGATAACAATAGAGACAAAATGCCACATCTTTGGATATACAATACTCCAACCAATCAAACTCATCAAACCATTGGGGAATGAAGCGTCGATTTATTCCTGACATATTAGTTATTGAAAAATTATGACCTCTAGATTGACAAGGTACTTTTTGTAGATATGATCTTCGGACCTCATCTCTCATATTAGCATCATAATCTATCATTCAAGTTCTTAATCCAGGGTCCGCTCGAAGATTACCCAAAACACCATCTAACTGACTTTGTCTTGAACTTGGAGTTCTTGAACTACCAACATTATTTGAACTATCAACATTATCCGAACTACCCGAACCCGATGATGACTTTCTCTTAAAAACCCGTTCCATAATAATTCTACATATACAAAATAATCAAAATAAATACTCACAATATAAACAAACCATCAACATAATCAAAATAATTATGAATTGGATTTCAATTAAATTAAATTAAATATATTCTACATATACAAAATAATGAAAATAAAAACTCACAATATAAACAAAATAGCAATATAATCAGAATTGGATTTCAATTAAATTAAATATATTCTACATATACAAAATAATGAAAATAAAAACTCACAATATAATCAAAATAAATATGAATTTGGTTTCAATTAAATTAAATATATCATACATAATAACATAGGGTTTAGAACTTACTTGAATTGTGAAATTTCACAATAACAATGAGCAAAAACAAAGAGAGTAGCTGACGGTACCACCACACGGCGACGACGACGGCAGCACAGAGGCACCCCACTGGGGGCAGCAAGGGAGGAGATGGAGTTGAGGGTTTGAGGGAGGGGGGGATTGAGTTGGGAACTTAGGGTTGCAGGAGAAAACAAAAAAATTTGGAAGTTTTAGAATGGAGGAATCGGGTCTGTGAAGCAGTGGCTAGCTAGAGAAGGATACGCTGGCCCTTTTTTAATTTTTTTTTATTTCAAACCTGGACCAAAACGACGTAGTTTTGGCCAGGTCATTTAAAAAAATTCCCTGGGCCAAAACGACGTCGTTTTTCCCAGGTAGTTTTAAAAAAAAAGAGTCCCGCGTGCAGCCTTCTTCTTCAGGTTGCAAGCCCTCGTTCTTTCACTTATTTCGTCGACCACTTGGTGTGCAGCTCCAAGAGGTCGCACCAGCAGCTCCAATGGACCTCTAGGCTTATTTCCATGGCTTCCAAGAGGTCGTGCGACCTCACTGACCCCACTGTGGCTCCGCCAGCCACCAAACAGCTTTTAATGGGGGAAACAAACTTCAACAGATAGAAGAAGGAACGAGAAAATAATAAATGCAACAAAAAAGAAAAAACAATAATGAAATTACGAAAAGATAGATAACGAAGAGCTAAGCGAACCTGGCTGCAAATTTTTGAGCTAGAATTTGAATGTGAGAAAGTTGCAGGCTGAGAGAGCTTGGAAGTTGCTTATGTTTTCCCTTGCACACAGCAAGAGCTTCAAAAAGACTAGTCTAAAATCTTGGGATTTATCCGATTTTAGAAGCATAAAAGCTAATAAATGTACAGTCCCCAAAGATCTTCCTTTATATAACCTATATCTCTTCATATTGACAACAAATCCGCTGTAGCAATACTCACAAATGGATAATTGTAATCCGGGTTCGAATCCCGGCAGTGGAATGCCGTTTTATTTTTCATTTTTTGAGTTGGGTTGTTTACTTGGGCCATAATATAAATGGGCTTGATAACTCACACTAAAAACTAAAAAGAATTCTAAATTTTCTATTATAAAAATAAAATAAAAAAGTGAAATGATTTTTGGTTCATGTGTTTTGCCTTAATTTCAATTTTGATCACTCTCTTTTTGTTGTTTTATTTATTTATTATTTTGCCAAAGTTAGGAAGGACACACACACTGTCAATGTGTCATGAGGGTTTGAACCTGAAATTACTCGTCTACAAGCAGCGGCGGATCCATGACTGTCGCCTCATGGGGTTCAAATTTTCTTTTCACCATATATAGAGATTGTGTTGTGTATAAATTTGAGCTCTGAAAGTTTACATACCAGATGGGTAATTTCCTTTAAAATCTCCTTTGGGAGAAGAGCTATAGTTTAAGTACGGAAAAATGGTGTTGCCAAATAGTAATAAAACAGGATGACATTGAGATTTTAATTTAACAATTAATAACAAGAATAAGAGGTATACAATTAATAACAAGAATAGGGTTTTTTAGTTGTTCTTAGTTAAAACTGATAGTCTTATGTTACCTTACATATGGATATGGGTTAAAAGTGTTTTTTTATTACACTTGAAACCAAAAATAGTCTACCCATCTTGAAACCAAACCTTAATAAATAAATAAAGTCTGTTATAAAAACCAAACCAATCTTGAAACCAAACCAATCACTATAGAAAAAAGTGGATATTATCTTCTTCGCTAGTGATTGGTTTTCCACCTGGTGTTGCTGTCGAAAGCTCTTCAAGTAGAAGCAGCCAAGAAGAGTAACTTACGGCGTGGAGGTGCTGCGACATGGAGGTGCTGCAGGGCTGCGACAGCATGGAGTGGAGTGGATGAAGGTGGTGGAGGAGGCAGGTTGGGGATTAGTTACGGTTTGAGAGAGGAGAGGGAAATTGGGTTTTGTTTTGTCTTTGGAGGTTGCTATTGTAGGAGGAATAGGGTAAGCTGCTAGGTTCTTTTTTCTTTTTTTTTTTTCTTTTTTTTTCTTTTTTTTTTTAAACTTGGCTCAAAACGACGCCGTTTTGAAGCCATGTTTAAAATAAAAAAATGTAAAGCGCTTGGACCAAAATTGTGTCGTTTTGAAAAAAAATTGAAGCCTCGCATATGTGCAGTGAAAGGGAGCTATAGTGCAAGGCTTCTGCGGCATTTCGTCGAACAGGTGGTGTGCGCCATAGGGTCACACACCAGCAATCCATGAGGTCGCCTTAGACCTCCACAACCATTTTTTCTAGCTTCCATGGGGTCACCTAACCCCATTTGTCCCTCTGTGCGTCCGCCTCTGCAAGTCAAGGCCCTTTTTCACTAAGTTAGACCTCATTGACATCTTTTTGTTTTGCTATATTTGATAAATTTTTTTATCACTGTTCTTTATTATTAAAGTTTTTATTGAGCTAAAAAACAAGACTCAAAATAAAATCCCTTGAACACATTTAAGTATACAATTACATATATATATATATATATATATATATAATACAATTTTAACTATAGAATTTCAAGTATATATGTCAAAAATTAATGGAGTAGTCACCCCAAGGAAAGGGAGTCCAATATATAATACAATTTTAGTTTAACTATAGAATTTTAAGCATGTCAAAAATTAATGGAGTAGTCACCCCAAGGAAAGGGAGCCCAATTTTGTCGAAGTAGTTAAATGTGGGGTAAGTTATGCGGGTTGTGTGTGTGGGGGGGTATCTAAGAGCCATCCAATTAAATCAGATGGTTAGTTTTCAAAACATGGTGCATTATTAGAACCGGGTTGAAATTACTCGTTGGATGCGTTAGAACCTAACTTCAGTTCAAGATATTTCCCTCTCTCTAAAAAACTCAAAACCTCACTCCTCTCTCTTCCAACCTAACATAAACCCACAATTACAAAGATCCAAAAACCCTAGACTCGCTCCATTCTCATCAGCCCTTCATTGTGTTCCTCGATTGTGGTGGAGATTGAGTCCCCGCAATCAAAGAGTCTTCGTTTTCAAAACAGGGTGCATTGTTGAAACCAGGTTGAAATTACTCGTTGGATGCATTAGAACCCGACTTCATTTGTGTAATCGGAATTCAACAAGTTGGGCTTTGCATCTTTTCTGTCAATTTGGCTAAAGTTTTGTGTAATTGGAATGCACTAATATGCACTAATGTTTGCAATGCAGTAATGTTTGATTAATGAACTAATGTTTGCTATGCAATAATATAGAAGCAGTTCAATAATATATATATATATATATGGGTCAAATGTCTGGGGGCTCAGAGGAGAGTGATGGTTGTGTAATAGCTAATGTGACGATTTAAATACTTGAAGTAATAAATGAGGATATAGTAGCAGTTGGGATGGAGTTCAACTCGCTTGACCTCGTTTATGATTTCTACAATAGATATACATTCTTTGCTGGCTTTGGTGTTCGACATCATTCCATCTTTAGGGGAAAAAGCAATAAAGAGATTATGAGGAAAGAATTTGTATGTTGCAAACAAGGTGAACATAGGAAAGATAAAACTTGGCTGAGAAAAAGAAAACGAGGGATAAGTAGATATGATTGCAAGGCTAAGGTTGTGGTTGTGAAGACAAATGGGCGCGAGAAGTATATCATCTCTCTTGTTGTAAAGGGACACATTCATACGATGACACCCTCAGAAAGAGTGCATTTTTTGAGATCACACCATCGTATTTCAAATGCTACAAAAGTACTCACAAAATAATTCGGTTCAGTTAATATCCCCACTCATAAGAAGGTAAGTTTTCGAAGTGCAATCCGGAGGAATGGATAAAATCAGTTTTACCTAAAAGCATATTTACAATCTTGAATATAGTGTGAGTGGGAAGTTGAGGAACCATGATGTCGAACTAGTGACTGAGTATTTTATAGCTGAACAAAAAAAGAGTTACTTGTTGATCACATCAATGCATTTGAAATGCCTCAATGTACTCTACCGATACTAATGAACAAACAAATGGCTACCTTATACACAAGGGCAATGTTCCAAAAGTTTGAGTAAGAATTAATACAAAGTACAACATGTTTCCTAGAGCTCAAAACAGAGGATGCTTCCAAGGTATTTGCACAATCATATTAGTATTTGCACTTACTACCAGGTATTTGCACAATCATATTACGACTAGGTATTTTACATATACTCAAACAAAAACTAAAATGCAAGTGAACCGCAAACACAAAATGCCAAATCCAACACCATTGACTGTAAAAATAGGGGAAAACTGTTACCCTAACCCTAAACTGAAATCCCACTAAATTACTTAACAAATGATGGTTCTACTTGAACAATCGCGGCTTTGCTCTAGAAATAGAACCTATCACTTCCAAAATGGAAGAATTGCAGCTTTGCTCCAAGGAATACGGCTCCGCTCCTTCCACGACTTCAACCCTTCCACTTAAAGTAACTAATTTTTCAGGGTTTAGAGAACGGAGTTGCCTTCAACCATCGTTAAGCCTTCTTCCGAACCAGTTTAGCAATGGGTTTCTTAGAGCTATGGGTTTTTGTGTTTAAACTTCAACCTTTGGGTGTCCAACATCTTCAAACTTTGCTAGGTATTAATTTCAGGTTTGAGTTCTTCACCTACCCGGTGGTAAAATTTGATCTCAACTATCCATAGCCCCTTGATTGATTTGATGGCTATAAAGTGAACCCCGCAAAACTTATCCCCCATAACTTTCCCCGCATTATAGCCTCGTTGAAGCTTCACACCTCAGACTTGGTTGATAATGATGGTCCTATTCTTTTCCTTTTTTTGGTTTCACATGGTTTATAAAATAATAATAATAATAATTACTGACATGCCAAAACGACGTCGTTTGGCTTGGTGACTTTTAAAACAAAGAAAGCAACGTGCACCCCTGCTTCTGCAGCTATTCTTTCTTCCTCTTTGGAGCGATATATCAAACTCATTGTGGGCATCGACCAAGAATTTGCAGGGGTAAAGTATTTTTCCTCTGGGTTGTGGTTTCTTGCTTGCGACACTCACTTACTGCGTCGCCCCCCTTAAAATCGGCACTTGCACCTTCGCTCCTATCACAACTACAGCTCGTCCTAGGAATTTGGAGTCTTGGATTGATTTGTTTAATGGAAAACTCTTTTGGATTAAAAATGACTACCTTTAATTGCTATGGTGATTGAATTGAGACAAGTGTTTGTTGACTCTGTTAATTGCAAAATGTTTCGTTTTAGGTTTGGCTTGACAGATTTTCACACACTCTCAATCTGTTAATTGCAAAATCTTTCGTTTAAATTATGC